AGCACTTGTATACAAGGGCAGATCGTTGATAAACAAAATGAAGAATAAAGGACCTAAAATACTGCCCTGAGGGACTCCATGCAACATCAAAGCTTCGCTTGACTCACTCCCATTTACACGGACCACTTGCTTCCTATCCAACAAATAAGAGTGACACCAGGCAAGCTCCCGGTTGGCTATACCGTACAGTTCCAACTTGCGCAACAATAGCTTATGGTCCACCATTTCGAAAGCCTTTCGATAATCAACCAGGACCATGCCGCATACATAATTATTATCTAGGCCGAACAAAAGCTCGTCAACTAACTTGATTAGAGCAGTCTCGGTACTGTACATCCTACGAAACCAAGACTGTCTAGAATCCAGCAAGTTATTATCCATAAGGAAAGCATATAGAGTGTTGTGCATATGACGTTCGATTACTTTTGACACCACCGGTAGCACAGAAATTGGGCGATAATTAGAAGGATCACTGGCCGCACCTTGTTTGAATAGAGGTGTCACATTAGCAGCACTGAATCTGGTAACAGAAAAATCATTCATTTGCAATTAACACTCAGTCCGAAATCTAGCTGCTAACATTTTATTGAGATGGTTGTTTTATAAGGGTATGTAAAATGTAGAATGACCCTGTTACTCGTTTTGAAGCCCGCTTCTCCATCAACATTGTGTAATGCATTTATTGCAGCCTTGCTAACAATAGTCTTAAATGACTGTTAATTCATTAAATGACTCATAATTTGAACCTCGGTTAAAGATACGAGAGTGGAAATGATCCATTTTCGGGGTATATTACGAACTCACAACGGACTGCTTTCCAGCTGGCTTGATTAGCTCAGTGGAGAGACCATTGCGTCCGGCGTTTCGCAAGGCCAGGGTTCGATTCCCAGTTAAGCCTGAATTTTTTTAGGTTCTTTAATCTTGCAAATGCTTAGGTTGTTTATTCAACTGCGAGGCTCATTTCCACACTCAATAATTTGCAGAACTAACGGAACGTTTTTCTTCTATTTGAACTTTTCCTCTCTGCAGAATGCACAAGGTTAGTTAACTTATCTGCACAACCTTTCCATTTCTTGAGGGTAATAGTTGAATTGACGAAATTATAGGTTGAATAAAAGAAATACGCAAAAACTGTTATATAGACTGTATTATGGTGACCGTGGGGGTCGTTCCTGGTTTTGTAATGAGCTCACTGCCAATCTTTATATACTTGTTCCGCAGACCCCATTCTTGTAATCACTGAGTACGTTCCATATGGGGATCTCCTGGGTTACCTAAGAAAAAGTCGTGGACTTAATGACACGTATTACAAAGAACCTGATATCAAGCCGCAAACAACGTTGACGTCACAGCAACTGATCAGTTTTGCCTGGCAAATTGCTGATGAAATGAGTTATTTGTCTTCGAAAAAGGTATGTTAGCTTACTGGAATGTTTCCTTTAGTTGTTGGCCATATGTTGACAATATCAGTATTTTTATCTGTTTGGAAAATTGCAACAGGCTAAGGATTACTAAGGAAAAATTACAAATTTACTGTCAAGGAATTAATTTATTATGTGGACTGACGTCACTATAATTTGATTGCTCTTAGATTGTTCATCGTGATTTTGCAGCCCGTAATGTATTGGTTGGAGATCAAGAAATTTGCAGAGTGACAGACTTTGGAATGGCCAGAGATGTGCACCAGGAAAATATTTATGAAAGAAAAATGAAGGTTTTCGTATCGTTTCTGTTAGGGATGTATTAAAAAATGTTATCCTGCACTGAGGGGGCCTGACAAAACAGCCAACATTTCGCGACGCCACGAAGTCCTTCTCTGCGGAATGGCTTCAAATGTTCAGAAGCTCTACTCTGATATGGGTAAGGACTCATCATCAGTAAAGAATTTCTGCGCTCGTTTCACAGACGACCTTTTTCGGGGAAGTGTCGAAATGCGGGCTGCTTTCTCAGGCTACATTTGTTCCTGAAGATATGCAACGAATACGGATAAACATGTCTTTTCGTATGACTGATATATTCACGCATAGTCTTGCTGCTACGGGGAAGTGTTGAGCTGTTTTGCGTATTCGCGACTACAGAGTACATTTTTCTCGCATTTTGCCATTTGGGTAAAGTCCTTGAATCTTGCTTCTTAGTCTAAATGTCGTTTTTCACGCATATTACTAGTATTGCTACCAGAGGGAGGTGTTAAGCTATTTTGCGTATTCGCAACCATAGAGTAAATTTTTCTCGCATTTTTTCACTTGGTTGAAGTCCTTGAATCTCGCTTCTTCGTCTAAATGTCATCAATCCAACTGCAGATGTGTCGGAAATTTGTGTATACCTTTTGCTCAAATTTAAGCTGCACTAAGATTGGTTTCTTTTTGGTGACTTCGATTAGTCACTTGTGACTACGATTGTTGTTTTTTTTTCGTTACTATGGCCAATAAAATGTCAGAGCATTTTAGGAGCCACCGACAAAATAGCATGAGTACATTTACTGACAAGACATACTAGTAAGAACAACAACTCACATAAATGAAGTACACACAACTGCATCCAAGTTAGCACCGAATGCAACCGTAAAAGTACATGCGTTGCAGAACCTCGGAAAGCTCAGGTTAAAGGCCAATGGTTAGTCCATTCCTGCTGTTACTTAATTCGTAGTCCTCGATGACAGAAACCTCACGAACAGGCCACAGTTGTTCAAAGGTGGATTACGCTATCCATTGGATAAATCTTTATCCACGGAATAGCGCAATTGGTTTCACAACGCCTATCCGCTGGATAGTGATTTATCCGGTAGATAGCGCTATTCAACGTTTGAACAACCCGGGCCCGGGTTTCGTACAGTACAATGCTTGCTCATACTGTGGCATATTTGAGCGTTCCCTTCCCGATCCCTTTTATGGTCAATGAATCAGTTTTTTAAAAGTTCTTTGCTTGTTTCTTTCATTAAGGGGCGACTTCCTGTAAAGTGGACCGCTTATGAAGTATTAATGTACGGGCAGTACACGACAAAAAGTGACGTGTAAGTACCTCCAATCCTCGCAAACTGCGCTCTTTAGTTTCCTTTATATTAAATTGTTCTGCAACAACTTCAACTACACAAAAATGCCGAATTTGCGTATGATATGGAAGTGCAGTCCAAAAGTAGTAGATAAATCGAATCCAAAAATTCTTGTTATGCTCTCATTCAAGCACTTGCAAGTTTATTAATAAGGTACATGAGCAAGTTTCGTGGCGATTTCATGACATCAACAGATGATGTTTTCCTCAGTTGTCGATATTCACTGCATTGCCAGGCAGCTGAGCTGCTGCTCAACTTCTCGTTGCGTGACGTCAATTGTCCACTAATTTTCTTTTTCCTCTTTTTTCTCCTTCCTTCTCCCGCTCCTGGCCCAATTTTGAGTAACACGTAAATGTTTATGCGCGTACATAGTGTAATTGAACTGTTATATCTCAACATTGACCAGGGGGACGTTGGAGATATTTAGCAAAAGACAAAAATCCTAACTATTGTTAAGTTGTACAACCTTCTCATCTATTTCTGTCCGTGGTTGTTGTCGTAAAATCAGGCAAGAATCATAATTTGAATGGCTATTTATAATTGCAAATATTTCTTACATTTTTTTTGTTATTTAATCGCAGCTGGAGTTTTGGAGTGGTACTTTATGAAATAACTACCATAGGTATGATTTTGACCACGATACTGCTCTTCTCCTACACAGATAAAAACCCCTCAAACCCTATTCAGACCGGGAGGCTTTTGAGGCCCCCGTGAAAATTGAAGCTGAATAACTTTAAAACCGTCTAAGGCCCTGTTTTCGCCACGACGAAAACGTGGAATTAGCCTGTGAACAGGCTCTCTGTTTGGGGAAACATAGCAAAAAAAGGATCTCCCCAGTCTCCCGCTCGACCAAAGGCCTGTTCACAGGCTAAGGTGGAATCTATTTGTTGACAACAAAGCTCTAAAAGCGTTAAAGTCTTGTTTGCTTGGAGATAAATAAGAAGTGAGGAGGCCATTTATTCTACACGAAACAAGATTTCCTTGCTGAAGTTTTTCACTTCATTCTTTATTCTTCAGGATGTTTACTTTTTGTATCGTATTCGACGATGATTGAGTCGTGTATAAATAAACAAATTAAAAATCGAGAGAAATTACATCATTGCAAGAGAGAAAAAATAGTCCTCTGGGAGGACATGAGCTTACTGGCAATGAATAGTCTGTACAAAGAAAAGGGCAATGACATGTTGCCTTAGTCAGAAGCATAAACGTTTATAACGCGTCGTGTGCTACGAGGGAAATTATTTTACAAAGAGAAAATTTAACTTTTTCACTCAGTGCACTTTGTTTTTTTCAACACATTTGTTTCCTATTGCCAATATACGCAACAATACATTTGCCGTCCGTTATCTGTGGAAAACGTATGTAACGAAACATCGCGACAAGTGACAACAGACCGAATGACCATCGAAAACCACGTGCTTGCAAAACCAAATCGTTTTTCAAGGCACTTACGTTATGCAGTGCCGTGCAGCACGTAATTAGGTAAGTTCGGCAGCCACATAAAAGCAGGGTTAAAACTTCAAGAGAAATTCTCGAATTGAGTTTGGCAAGATTTATTTTGCTATTTCTGTCCATTCGTAATTGCTTTATGTGTTGATTGAGTTCCACTAGTAATGAATATTTTTTAATCTTCTGTAGTATTAAATGTGGGAAAATAGAAACGCGAATGTGTCGCTTTTACTATGTAAACATTCAACTAAATTGTCACAAATTTAAATAAATTCAAAACATTTCATATTTATAATTTATAATTTATTAATCAGGTTATTGACCAGATTAGCACCAAAAGTGGCAGGGCTGCCCGGATAGAAAGCCATGGGGCTTATAACATTCAGGCTACCCATTTAAAAACAAATTCAAAGTTATTTATGTATACATAAATGACAAGAATAAGCTAAATATAAGTAATAAGGTTAAGAGGTATAATAATCAATTATGGTAATATGGTAATTTTGCTATGACATTTGCGTGCTTAATCTTGGACAGAAATTACAATAGTCCCAGAACTGGTCATTCCTCACGGACCCAAACATAAATAACGGAGCAAATTAAAATATCCCTAAGAACGATCAGCATCAAATGCCTTCTTGTCATAACAACGCTTTATAAGACAAAGGTAGGAAGATAGCGGGTATCGAGCACAGTCCCTTCGGCTCCGAAGGTTACGCTTTACCGCACGTACGGGGACAGTAGAACATGGCGCGTCAATTCAATCATCGCCTGCTCATCACGAGCTCATTTGCATACAATGAAAGTAGCCATAATTCTTATCCCCAGTTTCCAACGTCTCTGTTAGGAACGCTGGGAGTAGGCCCCCCGTTTGCGACGAACCGACGAAACAACAACAACAACAACAAAAACGCTCTGCTAAGGCAAGGTCGACTAATAGGCAAGTTTCGTACGGCCCTGCGACGAGAACGATTGCGAGGCTAATGCGGGTCAACTTCTTTGCAAAAACAAAAACAAACATAGGCAATTTGCCGCTGAGTGGCTGGAAAACGATAGAAATCTTTAAAATAGTAAGATTTCAAAGCTTAAACTTATCAGTAAGCCAAAGGGATAGCTGTTGCAAACAACAAAATTGTTGGATAAGCTGATCGTACTTAACAGAAGAAAGGAAAAAAGCGACGAAGCCAAAAGAAGAAGTAATTGTTAAGCTTGAAGAGGATAAAGTTTGTTAAAATGAAAATAGTTTCCTCCCTTTAATTATGATAATCTTACTTCTAAGTATTCTATTTTTTCTCTTGTGAATATCTGTGAAATGGAGTTTAAACTGTTCAGTATATATATCGTCTGTATAAAATTCTGTGTTCAAGTTCTTGTCGAGTGAGAAGTGCGTACGTTTTTTGATTAATAATGCAAGAAAAACGTAAGCTTATGTATAAATAAACTCATACTATTTTATTCATCTTCGTTTAAACCGATTTAACTTCCTTACAGTGCAAGGAATTTATGCAAAATGTCTGCCCCGTCGGTTTATTTTCTTTCAAATACACAAGATTTTGTATTCGCTCCGTTAGAAAACATGTCAACTAATTAAAACGAAGGTTTCGGCTTAACTTGCAGGCTTTCGACCACTACCAACACTCCAATAGAGTTTTAACCATCACTGAAAATAACATTAAAATGGCTACGGGGTATTACCTTGTTTTATGGATTTTGAAACCATCTTCGCAGTTTTATTGAACTCACTCACCGACCACTATTTCGGTCAATTTCTGGTTAGGCTCGCTGTTTTTCTTAGTGATGACGAGCTGATTTTCGTTTTGCTGTTTGAAACAACGATTTCTCAAGCCTGTAAGTAAGTTTTGAGACCTCCAGACCTTCCAACGTTTCAAATTTTTCTTCTTTTCGGCAACTCAGCCGCAGTTTTCTCATGTTTGCTTGTCTTCTTGGTGAGGAGTGACCCCTATTAGCCTCGCTTTCGCACAAAAACAAGCACTCGTCCTAGGCCGCCCGGGAATACGAAACTCGCCTATTACTTAGTGTTGGACATCTATGTTACAGTCAATTGACAGCTGTGTCAAAAAAGGTATCCGCCGACCAATATCAAATGACTTTATTGCGGGCTCAGGTATGCAACTCATTGAAGTGACCAGTTTGTAGTTTTCAATTGATCGCGGGCTCAGGTCCATTTGTTAAAGGTGGAATTCAGTTTGCTTTCATCCTCGGAGACCCAGGGGCAGTAAATCGGGACTATAAAATGTTCGTGGTGAAAGTTTACTGTAAGATCGAACTCTAGGCACTTACTCTTGCCTGCTTCTGATTGGCCAGAAAAAATTCTGGCCAATCAGCGAAGAGGAGCAGCTCGGTGACTCTGGTGTTTTCTTACACAACGTATTTTTGCTCATCGATCGCCATCAACGGGGAACGTTTCTCGAAAAGTTGAATTACTTGGGAAGGACATTTCTTAAAAGATCCCTCGAGAGCTTCGCTTTTGGTCTTGGCTAAATCTGTATAGTTATAAGTGAATCCAGGCTTTTATGACAGATGCTGGGTTCAATTATTAACATTGTTAATTTCTCTCTGAATTTCACAATTTGCGTGTTTGTTTGCTTCTTAGCATCGTTTCATACACAGATCAACTTTTCTATCACGATTACCTGGATTTGTATGGGTTTTAAATAAATTTAAGTACATTTAATCAGCTATTCAAAATGGCAGATCCAAGACGGCAGATGGTTCTAGATACTTCTTTAATAACAATGAGGTCATCATCACATCAGTGAATGAGTAAGCCAACTTCTTGATTTTGTCAGACTTCAGACCCCTTATTATTTGATTATTGCTCTGAGGGGGAAAATTGATGGAATCTGGATTCTACCAATAAATTCAACAATATCTCAGTTTTTGTAAATGATGAGTACATTATTCTGTGTAATTTTGGACGGTATCAATGACGGTTTTGAAATTATAGCGGTCGGCCTCTGAAGCCCCCAGGTCGCAGGAGGCAAAAAAAGAATGATAATAATAGTAATAAAGCTTGGTCTGAACGGGGCCAAATTAATATTACATTCAAGTGATAAAAAATTCTGAGGAAAGTTCTCATTTAAGTAGGTAGATGCACGTCCTTCGAATTTTCAAATAACGTCCTCTACAAAAAAATACTGTAAGTTCTGACGCGTTTGCCGATCCGTTAAAACGGATAAGGTCAAAATAAGACGTAAGGTGTAAATATAACGTTTTCATAACAAACGAACTCTTCAGAAGAAACAGTTAATAAAATCACCCTTTTCGTTTTCATTCTAAGACCTAAACCAAGGGTTACATTATCTTTCCGCTTATAAGATTTTGAAACGGAACTTACATCCTAAAGAAATATTGAGAAACCCCTCCTGTATCTCTAGAAAGCTAAGGGTACATGTGAAAACAGATAAAGTATGTTCTGAGTGTTTACCTTTAATGTTCTGATTGTTTTCTTGTTATCTATGTTTGTATTAAGGTGGTACACCTTATCCGCGAACGGCAGGACGGAAAATGGCTGAGTTACTTCTTGAAGGCTACAGAATGCCCAAGCCAAGTCATGTGGTTGATGCTCTGTAAGTTTATAAACCAAATGGCTGGTAACCAAAATACTGAAGCGGTCAATCTTAACTTGTTAACATGGAGACAAATAATATGTGATTGAGCGATGACTTTTATAAAGAGGAAGGAAATTTTATTCAGTTCAGTGCAGTCTTTAATAACCAAGAAGTATTTCCCCGGGCTTGGGGTACGACATTACATGTAACAGTTGTGTAAAACACTCCATGGGAGAGACAGCTAGAGCTCTGGAGAAGAGACTGGTCGAACACCAAAAACAAACAACATCCGCAGTCTAGGAACACCAGTCTAAAACCTCCCATGAGATCGACTGGGAGGGGTCAAGATCTTTGACCAGGAGACGGTGGAATTCAAAACAGAAAATCAAGAAGGAGGTCATCCATATCAGACGCCAGTGTCCAACCCTAAACAAAAATGGGGTTACGAACTTCCCGCGATTTTTAACCATTTGTTGTCACGTGACTTATTCACGTGACAATACTGAGCGTTTACTGCTGATGAAAACTGTGAGATGCATTAGAAAGCTACGAGACTAAAATCTGAGACTTTTGGGACTAGAATTTATTTTTCAAAATGTAATATTTCATTGTTTAGTATTATCCCATTTGTAGCTATTTTGCGTGGAAAACTCCTGTATCATCCCTTCCTTGAGCCCAAGAGATCTGTTTCTATTTTTCCGCTAGCTTAATCGAAAGGTTAAATAGAAAAACCTAATGTTTATTCATAGATACCAGATGATGCTTAACTGTTGGCAAGAAGATCCTGATGAGAGGCCAACATTTGAAGCTCTACGTCATGAATTAAAGGAGATGGAAAACCAAAATAAGATGAAACAAACAAGCACTCCATTAAAGAGAGACAAAAAAGAATTTAAAAAAAAATACATTCAAGCCTCTTAACATTGGTCACCTTGGTTACTGAGACAGGTAGATGGGTATTGTGGGGAGTTACGGATGAAACTATGTTTAGGAAAAAGCTAGAACATTTATTTCTAGTTCTTGTTCACTAATTTATGGCGCTCAAATCGTGCATATTAATGAGTTGGAAGGGAAACTAGCTCTCTAACTCCCTATTTCGCTCCTTTTCAGATTTTCTATTTCCCTCCACAACTACCACCATCACATTTCTGTTGTTTCCCTCCACCTCCACCACCACCACCACCACATTTTTTTCACGAGATTAAGACAAAAGGCTATGACGTCTCCGGCGTTTATGTATTCCTGTCCTCTTAATGAGATTCCTGCCCAAAAAAGGTAACTCTGTACAACCTGTACTACATATTAATAGATAGAAAAAGTGAACTTACAGTTTAAAATGTTTCGTTCTGCTGATATAGTAAACTAGAGCGATAATTTTATGTATGAACCTGAATGATGTTTTGCGAACATTGGAAGGTCGGTTAAGATGTTCTGCTTTTTACTTACTTGATTTTCTTTTTGTAGATGGGCATTTTGGGGAGGTACGGGTGAAATACTTCATTAATTTTCAGGGGAAAATTTTTTAAATGTTTAATTGAATAACTCACTTGATTCTCACAGTAGTATAGGGCGCAGTCAGCGAATTACCTTTTTTGGACAGGAATCTCATTAAGGAGGCAGATATACATGAACGTCCATGACGTCATAGCCTGTTCTCTTTATCTCATGAATGAAACGCGGTGGAATTTCATTAGGATAAGGTTATGGACAATTTTTTTCGGTGGCTTAACTCGACAGGTTTTAGATAGAGCAATGTCTCGCTTTTTGATTGGTTGCGTTAGACACTAAGAAAAGTATTCATTGGTTGATTCCTGTTGTCGAAGGAATAAGGCTAAGTTTGCTTGAGACTGATTATCACTGAACCGTGACATTATTATGCAAGTTCTGTTTACTACCACTTTCGTTTTCCATTGCAGATAAAAAAAATGGTCTAGTTCTAGTGCACTGATTTTTCGCACTCAAATCATGCATATTACTCCACTGCTCTTCCCCCTATTCCACAATCCAGTTATTTGGGTCCTGCTCAAATTTTTTTTTCCCTCCGCTTACCACAACTACCACCACACTTCTATTGTTTCCATCTACCACCACCATCGCCACTACGTTTTTGCATGAGATAAATACAAAAGGTTATGTTGGGTTTGGTGTGCTAATTACCAGCCCTCATTTCTTAATATTTACTTCCGTCTCAGTGCCCCTATCTGCGGTGGCTTTCGTGTAAAAGCAAGAGCCGGCCGGTATAGTGTGAATGCAACCTCAAACAGCAGACTTTTACCGTTAAATAATAGCATTGAATTTTTCTTCTGGCAGAGACTCATCAAAATGCATTGCTTTGACGAGAGGCTCTGCAAGAATGTGGACGATTTGATGTTTGAGACAGGCACTTTGCTCAGTGGATGAAATTGAGCTGGAGATTGCACGGTATCAACCACTTCAAATGACCCAGTATCACTGCAATTTACGGCTTTTTCGTACTAACTCTAGTTAGATTAGCTATCTATTCAAGTAGAACTAACTGGCTTTGAAAGCAGTTCATAAAGCAAGTGAGAATAGTTATTGCAGAGATTTGTTCTTTTTTGCCGTGTATTCTTAAGAGTTATATAAAAATATTGACGATAGATGGCTGAAGATCGTTTTCACTTTCTTACTTTTCCAGTGAAAAATTGTATATTTCTTCCTCTGATCCAGCGAAATATATAATTCCGCTCCAATATCCCATAAAGCAATAAATCTGGATGTAAAAATCAGTGTGCGGTCTTTGAAGAAAATGTCTACCATGGCATCGATCCCGTTTTGATTATAGAGGGGAACGCCTCGAACTAATTTGTAACTTGACACTACCGATTCGAATATCCCGCCTTACCCAGGCCAAGGTCAAATTCCCCACCCTCGGGAATGTCTTTCGTGTAACATTCTCCGCTCCTAATGCCTGGGATTTGCCGGGGGTGAGTTGTTGAAGTTGTGAATTGATCAACCTCTTCCCATGAAAATTATTTTTAATCTATTCTTGTTTCCTTGTCATACCGCGTGCTTCTTTTAAGGAAGCCACCTTATTGGTCGGTTAGAGTGGCGTCATGTAATTTTAGACTTGACGGGTAGTCATTTCTTTGGCGATCACGCACAGCAATCCATACGACGTGCGAACTTGGTATTACTTTAACCGACGAGTCAAAAGATTTCTACGTGGAAAAATCTTTCCAGAGTAGCTGTTAAGGAGCGAAACTGCCCTAGCTCGCGAAAGTTGCCGGAGAAAGTGGTTCTGGCTCAACGAAAATTGTTCATTGTGGTCTTTGCTCCATCAGTATATAAAAAAAACAACAACCTCGAGTAAGTCATACTATTGTAAATGACAATTGTCTCTTCCGGCGACGTTGACGTAAACCCGCGAGACCTTTGTATTGATGCAAACGCGGACACGTAAAGAGAACATAGGTTCTAAGTGGGTCCAAACATGCCATGTTTGGCCGCCAAACATTTGAATTTTGAGTGGGCTTTAGATAAATGTTCAAGAGCAATGTGGGCGCAGCGCTCACTAAAAAGAATTTAACGAAACCGGAAACCGCGTCTTTGGCATCCAGGTTAGCGATTGTTTAAAAGCATGAGACATCTGACCTGATTTGTGTTCGCACAGCGAAATATTCATCTCAAGTATTAGACTTTCAGGAGAAGTAATGCAGTTTGAAACATTCAAGAATAATTCTTAAAAACGAGTGTGCTGTTTCTGAATGAGGAAAATTCCTAGGAATAGAGAAAACATACCTTGCGCATCTGCATAAACAACTGAAACCAGCCGCTAATTACGTTTTCGTATTTCGCACTTGGTAACTTTTGCCTTTGGTTTTCACGGTGTGTCAGTATTCAGTATTCGATGCTTTAAATGAGGCTACCAGCCGTTAGAAAATCTCAATCTTTAATTTCAAATTGAAATTTTGACTCCAATACTGATATTTATGGCTAATGAGTGAAACGCCCTAAAAAAATCGTGTCAACAACTTCAAACTATGGCGCGATAATATAATAGTATTGCTATAACTTCTGTCAAACTTCAAATGTTTGGCGGCGAAACAATTTTCACCTTCTCTTGAAAGTAGACCGTGCGGGTCACGGAAAGAGCGACGGAAAGACCGGAGAAAAATAACCTTCGCCGCACGCGCGCCAACTTTTCAACAGATTTAAAAAATCATGGGGACCAGGAATTTCCCCCCAGAGCTCATTCTCTCTTGTGTACTCATGTAAAGTTGAATTCACTTTCACTGTTGGCATTTCTTGTAAATCATGAGAAGTTCTAGTTTTTGTATAGCACATTCTGTAAAGGCTGTTTCAAGCCAAATGCAAAACCACTGATGCGTTATTTCAGTGATATTTCTGTTATTATAGAATAAAACAATACCTAGCTAATATCAAAGTTTAGTCTTGAAGTAACAAAAGAGTTTTTTGCATTTCTATATTTTTATTTAAATGACCAAGTCAATTCCAGGCGCGACCACTCCCGCTCGGCTCCCTAACCTGGGCTCGATAGCTCAACAGTAAACAACAAAATGTTGAATAAAAGTCAACTGCAGTTTAGAGTACTGTATTTACCTTGGAGTTGCTCTGTTGCTGGTTTTCACTGTAACTTCATCGAAAATAAAGTCCAGAATCTGGGAAATGAAAGGTGGCAAATATGCAAGGAACCTCACGTAGATTCAGGTCAGTGCATTTTTTACATGCAAGATACATGTATTCCGAGAAATGAATTACCCAAATTTATAGCACTTTGTATAGAGACGCTCCGGATGGGCACCAACATGGTGGCCGGAAACCAACATAATTCTCTGTCCATGAGTTGTGCTACGCAAGCGTTAATTCATCTCTTGTGGAACTCATAAAAATGAAAGTAATACTTTCTCTAATACAGTGTCGGACTTGACAGAGGAAAAATGCCCTAAAAAAAGCCACTTTTTTTAACCTACACGGCCGCAGCTCTCCCGGCCGCCATGTAAATGATGCGTCACACAAAAGCTTAGAAATTCAAGCATATTCTATCACAAAACAAAGAACTCTTTGGTAGTGACAGTTTTCATAAATATTTATGCTTCATGTTCAATTACATATTACGCGAGTTATTGATGTTGGCGGAGTCTCGCTTTGGGTGAGCTCTGTTTGCGTGGACACAAAATAATCACAAACCCATTATGGGATATTTTGGCCCCGGAAGTGGCCGTTTATTAAATTAACGCATATAAAGCTGGGAAAACCAGATACACAAGAACATTATCCCAGCAAAGGTAGGGGCACACCCGCCATTCCCTAGGGTAAAATAGAGCTAACGGGAGGGAAGAGGGAGGGAGGGAGGGAAAATGTTTCTGACTGTCTTGTAATGCGAGGAAGGAGGCCTTGTGCCTCGCCTCCGTGACTTACATAACCCGTGACAGAAATAACACTTTCGTGACAAACCACCCAGATGACAGGAAAACCCTCCTTTGCTGGTAGATAGAGAAATACAATATTGATCAGTCACGTTCAGAATAAAACTATTTATTTCTTTCAGAAATAAATCTCATTTATTTTTAGCTGCTCTTATACTTCATGAAAGTAATAACTCGCAAAGACCGATAGTTTAAACGTTAATGACGTCATGTAAAAATCAGCTCCTTATCAGTAATGAAAAATACACATGCCTTTGTGGTCTGACGGTGGGCACGTTTGTTGATTGACTGAGCCATACTTTTTTAAAAATATAATTATTGATCCCAGTAAATGGCTTAAGGACGGTGCCCACTATTGTTACTGCGCACATTTTCTGCGCATGCCAAGGTAGTCGCGCGCGACGCGAAAGAAATGCACAACACGCAGGACACGCGGACTGGTTT